TAAGCATATGAAAAGATGGTCAATGACACTAATCATTAGGGCAATGCAAATAAAATCTGCAAAGAGATGCTATTTTATAACCATTAGATAACTACCATAAAAAGCACAAAAAATTGTGTTTTCACCACAAAAATGAACGTGTGAGGTAATGCATATGTTAATTGACATATTCCACAGTGTATACATATGTGAAAACATCATGTTGTACATGATAAATACATACAGTTTATTTCCCAAGCAAGTAGAAAGAAAACAAATGTTGATATGGAGGTAGAGAAATGAAAGTATTTGTGTGCTGTTTTGGGGAATGTACAATGGTGCAGCTGTTATACAGAACAATCTGGCAGTTTTTCAAATTACTGAAGGTAGAATTATGTGATCGTCATTCCACCTTGGGTACATTCTCAAAAGAATTAAAAACAGAATCTCAAAGAGAAACATATGCATCCATTTTTATAGCAATATTATTCACAATAGCTAAAACATGAAAGCAACCCAAGTGTCCATCAAAATAGAGTATATATGTAGAATGGAATATTATTCAACCTTGAAAATAGAAGCACATTCTGACAAGTCTTACAACATGGATGAACCTTAAAAACACTGCACTAAGTGAAATAAACTAGTCATGAGAGACCAATACTGTATGAATCTCGTTATGTGAGGTACCTAGAATAGGTAAATTCAGAGACAAAGTAGAATGGTGGTCTCTAGGTGCTGGGGAGAAGAGGAAACAGGCAATTCTGGTTTAATGGGTATACCAAGTTTTAGTCACAAGATGAAAAACATGCTGAAGATGACACACCCCGTCTGACTTCTTTTGCTCTCCCTACATTCTACCTCCTAAAGGTTCTATAACTTCCCAGTAGCACCTAGGGCTAGTGGCCATGTTTTTAGCACATGTGCCTTTGAGAGACATTTAAAATATAAGTGATACCAGTCCTCAACCTAAAAACAGTCTTCATATTTTTAAATAGTTGTAAATGTAAATCATATTTTCTGTGATATGAAGTTTATTGTATTCTTATTGTCCATTGTCAGTAAAGCCTCATTAAAATACAGACATTATTCCTCATTCATTTTCACATTATACACAACGGTGATAGTTGATCCGTTGTCCCTGGGAAGTGATACTTTATTACTTTGCACTGCTGTGAGCGCTCTACAAATCATAGCGACAGCTTTCACCTGATGGCATTTTGAACACCTTGTGATCACAAGCCATGACATTTTATAGTTTTTTATGAACAGTACAGACCTACTGTGTCAAGACAAAAAAAGAGTGGATTTCACATAATTACACTTTAAAAACCTAATGGAGTGTGGATTTTCTGTCATCATTGCTGACAAGGAATTGTGTTCATCATAAAGTGACACTGTAGCTATGCTTTAAAAAAATACAGTAAAGTAAGAGAAAAACTAGGAAGTTTCAGAAGGAATATCTTATTACTGCAGATTTTTTCCTCAAAAATAAAAATGAGCCTATGAAGTAAGTTTCTAGATAGCCCATTTGTTGGGCAAGCAAAGAAAGACATTTGCTCATGTGTCTTAATAAAATCACCGTGGATTGCAAAAGCCAAAGAAAAGAAAGCAGTTTAAGATTATAGACTGGGTAAACCTTATATGGAATACTTGGTACCAAAAAAGGTTAAGATTTCTGACTCTTTGGATTCTGGAATATTAGTAATGCATATTAGTACCTTGAAGGTAGGACCTAAGTCTAAATATAAAATTTATTTGTTACATACACATCATATAAAAATAACCTGAAGATAATGTTATATAATATTTTACAATTTTTTTTGTCTTTTTTTTTGAGACAGGGTCTCACTATGCTGTTCAGGCTGGGCTTGAGCTTACTTTGTAGCACAGGCTGGCCTTGAACTTGCAAATCCTCCAGCCTCAGCCTCACAAGTGCTGGGATTACAGGCGTGCACCACCATATCCAGCCTTAAAATAATTTTGGGTGTAGAATAAAGGTTTATGGTGTGGAATTTGCCACATGTAGCATCATGTCAGTGCACAAAAAGCTTAGGGTTTTGGAACACTTGGATTTCCAGGCTTAGAGTACGGATGTGCAATCTATACTAGCTAAGAGTTAACATTGGGAACAACATCAACAGCCAATTTTTAAAAACAGAAGTAATTTAGAGTGAGTTTCTCTGATTTTTTATGAATCCACAGATATTTCTAATACTGTTCAGTCTATTCAAAGTGTAACATAAATAAGCAGAAAAGCTACCAGGCTTATGTACAGGCAACGTGGAATGTAGTGCCTGGGTTCAGGCTGAGAGCATGATAAAACTGTCTGCCCCAAACAAAGAGAAGTGTGTCCCTTTTATAGGGATGGAGAGAAGGCCGGGGACATTAGGTGGGAAAATCCCAGTGACCATCTGTGGTTAAAGTTTTCTGGCAATCTTGTATCTCAGTTGGCCGAGTCCTTTGAAGCGTCTGTTGTAAATTTTTGGGTGTCTCCAGGACCTGCAAACATTTTTGTCCTATTGTATCTCCTTTCCTGTGTTTGCCAAGTGCTGAGCTAAATCCCCTGCAGAGGGTAGTGCTTCTGCTGGCAAGCAGGCTAGGGGCTGGGAGAATCAAGCCAGTTTGGAGACTTACACAAAGAATCAATGCCAAATCTAAAATCACCAAGCAGTAACCTCTATAAATCCTCTTGGTAAAACAAATGTATTTCAGAATATTTTCAAAGAACACTAATGCATTTCAAACTCAAGTGTTATCTGCTAAGATATGTTATCACTGTGATAAAACTGTATAGGGAGAAGAAAAATGCTTGGTTGGATAAGTTACAAAGTTTTTGGAAATGTATGGTGTTTAAAGATCTCATTGTATTCATCATATTATCCATCAGTAGAAATTGATGGTTAAAGTACTTGATTTACCACATTAAATCATTAGTATTAACAATAAACTTCATTTGTGTTCATTAATTTAATAATATTTAGTCTCATAAATTATTGTTCTAAATAGAAGAATATATCTTTATTTTCCCTTTCAATGGCTTAGCATTAGCTAGTTTTATTGAGGTTTTTTTAAACATACACATAAGATTTAAATTTTTTTCTGAATGATATATTTCCTCAACCACTACTACTGAGCTTCAGATGGCTTTGGAAATTAGTTTTGCTGAAGATTTGACAATGTTTCTTAATAAACTGAGCCTAAAACTACAAGGCAAAACAGAATCTATATGCAAAACTTACATTGCAATAAATTTATTTTGATGGAAACCAATGTTGCTGAAATCACAAGCAACATGAAGTTTCTTTATTCACTTCCTGAGCCATCAAAAATTAAACAAGAAACAAGACTTCCAAGCCATACGTTTGCAAAGAATATATTTTCTGGGCTCAAGCTATAGTTCTAGCAGTAGTTTTTGGACCTCAATTCAAGTCCAAAAGACATTTTAACGTTTTAAAATCAATTTTTTGTGCAGTTGAAGAACTTCCATTTAACTTTTGATTGGAGGCGATTAATCTGCAGTGTAATTATAAGACAAAAGGCATTAAATATCTAGGAGAAAGCATAAGAGAATTCCATAGATACATTCAAGTGATGAATATTTTTAATTAAAATCACATGTTCATGATTGCTATCAGGATTCAGATGTATCTTGTTTATATTAAAAAAGCATTTTCTTCATTGTAAGTACTATGAAATATTGCAATTTGCCTCAGCCTACAAAACCTGAGATATTACTATGTTCTCCTTTACTGAAAAAAGGAAAGCTCCCCACACTGAGGACTGTAGGTGTCTGAAAGTTGCAGGTAAACTTCACTAAGAGTGGCATTGAGGGATTGCTTAATAAGAAAGGTTTGGCTAAGTATGAGTTCTAATCATCTTGATTCAGCAAGCAAAGGCTTGCCTGTAGTCACATTACTATAATCAAAAATAGAAGTGGATCCAGAACTCCATTTTTTAAATAAACTGAATGTTTGACTTAGTTGGAGCAAATGGTATCCTGTCTACCATCAGTATTGCCAATATGAATTTTTATTAGTGTTTTAGTTTTGTTTGCATGTCTTTTATATTATACACCATGTATTAGATTCAGAAAAACAGTTTAATATTTGCTCATATATATGTAACATTATAAAATATCATTTTAAATCACAATTCTGAGGTGAACCTTTCTTTATTTATAAGGATCCAGTTGAATATTGAAGTTTGAGAAAACATTGCCTGAAGTCCAACTTCCCCAAAGTAGGGAGCAATTCTCTCAGTGAGGTGTTAGAGGTAAAGATGAACTAGAACTCCTTAATCTTCCAGAGGCATTTTTAATCATGGAAAAGGAAATTTGTGAATTGCATAGATCTGTCACTTTAAGAACTGTTAAAATGTCAGGTGAACTAATTCTCAAGTGCTTGTGGCAATAATGTAAAATTGACTTTAACAAATGCCTGGTCTTTACATCTTTAGATGAGGTAGTTCTCAAACTTGAAGTGCACTGAATGACCTGGAAAACTTGTTTCACATAGCTTCCCCAACCTTTCTCAGTAATTTTAGAGTGAGGCTAGGAATATTTATTTTTAATAAGCATCTCATTAAGTTCTAATTCTGAAGATACATGGCCATGTTTTTTTGAGAAACATACCTTAACTGTTCCTGATTTTCTTGGCTTCATAATGTCTTTCACTTTAGATTCTAGAGGACCTACCTTTAAAATGTTAGAATAGCTTATTTTTTTCTACAAGGACTGTCTCTGTAAGTGAGATAGGAAGAAGGCATCCCATTCTACCACCTTGAATTTTATTAATTATTATAAATACACAACTTCACTTTGCAGAATATTTTACAGAATAGTGATATGTTAGGGACCATTTTATCATGACTAACTGAAAATAAACTTACTGCTTTCGGGTTTAAAGATTCAAATGCTAAGTAAGATAACTTTCAGTTGAAAAATATAATATGACCATGATTCTATTCTTCAGATTATTATTTAAAGTCTTAAAGAACATAAATAATTTATGCAGTCTTACATTTTAGAGATTTTCTGAAATCACTGATGGTTCAAACTACAGGGGAAAGCCCTTGCTTCGTTACCTGCAAAACAAATACCACCATTTTAGATAAAAATCAGTAGGTCAGAACATGCTTACGGGTTAACATAGAACGTCTACTATTGAATAGAAGTCTTGATGCAAGATACCACAAATAAGAATCTCTAAATATGACATTAAATATGTAAGCCACCAAAAATTCAGGCCACTTCCTTTGCTAACCTTGCTGAAGAAATCAGAATATTAACCTGTGACTGTTAATGAATATGTTTATACAAATTACCCTTCACCACCAGTCCCTACAACCAGCTGTCTGTTAGGAAATTACAGGTTAGAAACAAAAGCTTTTTCTAGGAAGGAAAAGCTTTCTAGCTTTGGACAATTACAGGATGAAGGCCGCCCTGGCAGCCAAGAGCTGCAGGTCATTGAATTCTAATCCTAGTACAGGTCCTAATGTTGATATGACTGGAAATGGAAGCTCTCTGCCAGTCCTCCTCACCATAAACCTGGAATAATAACGAGACCCCTTACTTTGCAAAGGGACCATGAGTGTAGCAAATGAGATGACAGCAGTATTTTCTTAGGATAAGACATGAAATAATAACCTTACTGTGATATTCCCCATGCATCCTTCAATACACACCCTTGTGGCTCTGCCATGGCTCTGTCATTTTGCTTATTAACTACTTGTTTATTCTCAATTACAATAACTTCTCTACAGATTGCTGCATGTTCCCTGACCTTGCATGTCTTCAGTCTCTGCTTGGTGAACCTCCTGAACAAATTTTTGGACAAATATTCCTCCTGACTCCCAAGCCACTCTCCTCTCTTAGGCACCCCACCTGGCTCCTGCGTTGTTCTCACCATACAGAGCTTACGGCCTTGCTTCTGCCTATGTGGCCTTGGGACAAGACTGCTAGGCAGCCAGCTGTCAGTAGGTGTTCTCGGTGACTCTTGCATGGGGTGGAAAATATATCTTTCTGTAGCTCGCAGCCCTTCCTCTCATGCTGGCTCTGCACACAATGTAATAATGCCCATTATGTGTCATAGCTATGTCACTACCCTTTTCAAGGGCTGTGCTACTCCTTGTCTCTTTCAGATTCCTAGTGCTGTGTCCATAATGCAGGTTAATACATGTACCCAAATGGTAAGGAACTGTTGAATCTATTATTCTTTAATGGTTTATATACCACTCTAATGTGGCATTATAGGAAAGAGATTCATTCTATATTAAATACATGTTCTGGATGAATGAGAACAGCCTCCTTTAAGGCCTCTCCTTTTAAAAAGTTTTATCATTTTTGATAGAGATTAGATTTGAAACTAAAGGTAAACATTGTAGTACTTATATAAGTAAAAATCTGTGAATGCTTGCCTACTTACAGACGAAAAATCAAACAATTAGCCAGGTGTGGTGGAGCATGCCTGTAATCCTAGCACTTAGAAGGTTCAAGCAGGAGCATTGTTACAGGTCTGAGGCCAGCCAGGGCTGAATAGTGAGTTCAAGGCCACCTTGCCTCACAAAAAAAAAAAAAAAAAAACTAAAACAAAACAAAACAATTTGACTTTCCATGACATCTCCTGGGAAATCAATAAGAGCATTCATTTTTGAACATTTGTAGTAATTCCATATGAACTTTGTTTCTCAGCCTTCTTGTCTGTCTGTAAGATTGCCAGGTGATGCTTCATGCTATCCTTTTTTTGCTGATCCTTTCCAATTATTTCTGATGTACAACATACTGGGAAACTGGATAACCAAACTTAAATCAGAAACTGCTTGTGCCCTGCTGGTGGGAATGTTAAAAGGTGCAGCCACTCTGAAAAACAGTTTAGAAGTTTTTCAAGAAGTTAAAAATAGGACTACCATAGAATTTGGCATTCCCCCTGCCAAGAAAAAGAATTTGGAATTCCCACTTTTGGATACACATCCACAAGAATTAAAAGTAGGTCTTGAGGAGGTATTTGGGTTTTTTGTTTTTTAATTTTTTTCAGACAGGGTCTTACTATGTAGTCCAGTCTAGGCTTGAACTATGTAGCTCATGCTAGCCTCAAACTCATGGCAATCCTCTCGCCTCAGCCTCCCAAGTGCTGGGATTACAGGAATGCACCACCACATCTGGGTTTTGGGGAGGTATTTGTACATTCATTTTCATAGCAAAATTATTCACAAGAAGCAAAAGTTGGGCACAACTTAGTGTCCATCAACAGATGAATGGAGAAACAAAATATGGTTTATATTCATAATGAAATACTCAGCTTTGGAAGGAAGGAAACTCATAATAGCACAACACAGATGAACCTTGAAGACATGCTAGTAAAATAAATCAGTCGCAGAAGGATACATGCTATGTGGTTCTACTTATCTGAGGTAGCTAGGGTAGTCATATTCACAGAGACAGAAAGTAGATAAGTGGTTTCCAGGAAATGGGGGAAATTAAAAATAGGAAGTTGTATAATAGGAAAAATTTCAGCCTGATAAACTGAAGAAATCCTGAAGATTTGTTGTGCAACAACTAGAATGCCTTGTACACTACTAAACAACACAGTTAAAAACAGTTCCCATGGTAAATTTTATGCCACATAAATTTTATTAGAATTAAAAATAAATTTTGAAACAAAAGTTAGAAGCATGTATTAATTCATTTAAAAATATTTGCACTGTGTTTATATGTATCAGACCCCATTCTTTGTAGCAAAGATAAAGTACCAAGTGAAACAAAGTTTTGGTCTTTATGGAGTTTATTTGCTAGTACAGTATATAAGGCATATTAGGAAATATACTTTTACAGTTTACCTAATAAAGTGCATCATTTTAGAACACTAGTTTTCACAAAATAAATGTTTTACACAGATGACATGCCACCTGTCTTACTCTACTTTGTGTACCTATACCAAAATACTTAAAATTGGGTGAGTTATAAAGAAAAGAAGCTTGTTTATCTCACAGTCCTAGAGGCCCTACCACATGGTGCTGGCACCCTCTTGGCTTCTGGTGAAGGCATCATGGCAGACAGTATCATTTAATGGGTGCATGCACAGAAGAGAAATACCAGGGGTAAGGTTGCTTTATACCAACCCTAGGTAACCAATCCAGTCCCTCAAAACCCAATATACTCCTACAAGACCTAATCTAGTCTGAGGTACCTGACCTGGTCTCTGGGGAAAGACATAATCCATTCATCAAAGTGGACTACTCTGTCAACTATCTCTTAAAGATCCCACGACTTTTATGCCATATGTAGTGACACACAACTCTAATCCCAGCTACTTGAGGGCCTGAGGCAGAAAAATTCCAAGTATGAGACAAGCCTGGACAACTTAGTGAGATACTTCTCAATATAAAAATAAAAAAGGTTGGAGTTATACCATTGTGGTTCAGCCCTCCAGAGTCAGTCCTCAAGTCAGCAGAAAAAATGATCTCACTATCTCTCAAAACTGGGAACCAAACTGCCACATGATTTTTATGGGGGATAAAGCATACCCAAACCACAAGACTGACCTATTTCAGTGAATAATAATTGAGTAGCTCTGAGAGTTAGGCCTGTCAGACTGCACCTGCTGCATACAAGAATCATACCAGGTACTTGTTCTTAACACTTCCCCACCACTAGCACTCATCTGCTTTAACTGGACAAAGTTAGAACCTGGGCCTGGCATTTTTATGAGTTCTCCATGTGATTCTAATGTGCAAAGAGAGTTAAGAACCACAGCCCTAAATACACCTCAACTTGAAAACCAGTTTCAGGATGATGTTTCTCAGCCTTGGGCCCTTGGCCTCTGAAGCCTTGGATTTGATTGCCCTAAACCTTTTTTCTTTATAAGTGCACTATCTCAGGAAATATCTATAGTGAAGGGAAGTTGACACAGCATGGGAAACAGATATGTAGGACTGGAAGGGTAAGTCTTTCTCAGGAACAGAATACCTATTTTACACCTGTCATTTTGTTTTCTTCTTGCTGGGAGGAAAGCTGGAGAATCAGAAGCAGAGCAATCAGAATCAACTGGTGTTGCTCACAGCATTGAACAGGGATTTAAAAACTTAGAAGACAAAAGTGAAAAGGAAAAGATCAAAAGAAAAATCCAAGCATGAGCCTAGTCATTTTTATCTATTTGTCTTCATTAACCTCTACTAGTTTTTGGCATAACATGAATTATTGCTCTGAAGTACACAAATTTTAAGTCATATTTTACAAATCAAATTACTGATTCTTTTCCCACAGTTTTAAAAATCATAAATGAATGTTGAAAGTAGTCAAATTCTTTAGCATCTGTAAAAATGATTATATGATTTTTCTCCTTAACTAATCCATATGAATTAGATTAGTAGATTTGTTATTATTTTTGAATTAATTTTTCATTCCTGAGATGAATCTTGAATGACTGATGTGTGTTCTTTAAATATGGATTTTTCTTCTTCCCAGCTTTCATTATGTTTATATTTTAGCCATTTGATTGACAGGTACATTTGAATAAGCGTAACTTGATATTTTACCACAATATGGTTTCAATAATATACAGGTAAACACATGAATAAACCTATATTCAAGAATTTTATACTTTGTTTTTTCTAGAAAGTGCACTTTACTAAAGAATAAGAAATGTTAAATATAAACAGTAAGAACTTTCCTGAAACTTCCTAAGTTTTGTGTATGTGTATTATTTTCTTAACTTTTCATTGAACTTTGTGGCCTACATATTTTCACTTTTTGTTACCCTAATAGTTACTGTTTGAATTAGTTAAAATGTCTTGACTGTAAAGCACATTGTTTGCTCGTAAATCCTTTACCGCTCATCTTTTTTTTTAAAAGATGTTACCTTGCTGCTAAATTTTGGAAACAAATACTAGAAATCATTGGGTGCTTCTTTGGCTGCATAGCCATGAACGTTATGTAATATTGAATTAGGTACCCCATTTGTGAACCCAGTGTTGTTATTTTACTTCTTGGATAGTTCATGTTCTCAACTTCTTTTTAAGTACTTAAAATTATTAACCTAATTAAACCATTTGCTATTTTGGCAGATTTCTGCAGTCTCATAGCCAAAAGAGGGGCAGGGAACATGAACCTGAGGTCATTATTTGTGACATCCTTCATTTCACAGTATGCCACCTGGGGGTTCAGAGGAGTGAGATTACTTACCTAAATCAAAATTTTATCTGAAAATGAGAGTAAGGGTGAAAGAAATGTGAGTATATAATTTCAAAAGTGAATCTATATATGTGAAAACACACATATATATTCACAGACACATAATTGCATATACGTCAGTGGCTCAGCGTAAGTTTAGTAACAATTCCCATTTGATATTTTAGTCATACTTTAAATATATGGTACTTGGGCTGGGGATTTAGCTCAGCGGCACAGCGCCTGCCTGGCAAGTGCAAGGTCATGAGTTCAATTCCCGGTACTGGAAAAAAAATATGATACTACTTATTATTAACACAAAAGCTGTTAACATTTCAGTAGGTAAATTGAAGCTTCTAGTATAGAAGATAGGACTTTCTTGTGTAAATGATTTCTTTTTTAATCAGGAGATACATACTTCAGCTTTTCTAACTTTTATTTTTGTGAAGTTAAAATATCTCTTGCTGTTACTGCTCCAGTAAAATATCTTTCTGATCAAACAAAAGAATAAATGTGCCACATGACTATTATATTTGTAGTTTGTATGTGGAGTTTATGTTTGCCTGTGAATGCTTTGTTGTGGATTTTCACATCATGTTAGTTACCTTTCCCTTTTAAAATTATTCTGTTTTAGTTTTTTCATCAAGTCATCTTCTTCTGAGCTCCATGTTTTTCTGGTTTAGTAAATTCTTAAATATTTTTAAAAGACTGCTGATACACTTTCTGACCCAGAGTCATGTGATTTTTTTTTAGCCTGTAATGAAACTTTATTTAGTTATATATTTTTTAATGATGCTCTTTCATGAAAAATATCCTTATAAAATTGCTTTTGAATTATGTCTACACTTATTTATGTTATTAAAAACAAATTACTTTCAGTATTGAAG